ATCGACCGATGCCATTGAACATCCCATACCCGGTTCCCGTCGGGGGAGGACACAGCGGCGGCGGCAGCTACGAGAAGGACCGCGTGATCGTCATCAATGACGGCGACGGGGGCAACGGCGGCAGCGGCAATGGCAATAGTTAATCGGTGAGTGAAGAGCCTTGCGAATCCAAATATTCATCTCGTGGTCTCGATTCGGTCGCACTAAAATCTCTCCTTCCCCCTGTTTCCAGATTCCCAAGCTCGAGGTGTACGCGACGCCATGCAAGTGACCTTCACTGGCATTACATTTGTTGGCATCTCCCGAGTATTTTTTCTCCGTGAGAAGAGCTTTTGTTGATGATGTATTAATATAATTGTGAATTGACGAATGAATCCTGTCGCATCTCCGAATTCCTCTCGTCTTATCATTCGCCGCTGGAATCCCGTTCCCGGGAAGGAACGACGGATCGACAAAGAGCCAAAGATCGACGTGGATCGGAAAGCTCCGTCCGAGTTAATCTCCCTTCGACCCGAATCGCGGGACGATTCGAGAAAAGGAGGAGAAATCCGAATATTCTTCTCTCCTCGTGTAACCCGAGGGAAATTTTCCGCCCGACCCACACCGCCGCCATTAGATTCATTCGACCCAAAGCTATAAAATCTCGTAGAGGCCAAAATGACTTCTTGCCGCGGCCTCACGCGGGATTCCAATTGCGGTTTGAGCGAGAGAGCTTACCTCTGGTTCGTTTCTCGGCTCTTTTCGGGCCCTTTACAAGAATTTTTGGCCAAGTGCTGACAATCGACTTTGAGTAAGGGTCGTGTCGACTGACTTCGACACATTGCCAAAAACAACCCGATACATTTTGAGAAGAATTGACTGGATGGTAGGAGAGACACGTGTCCTCCTAAAAAAAAAAAAAAAAAAAATTCCCACCCTTTCCTCCTGGAACGCATATGGTCCGCCCGTGTGAATTTGGTTGGGTGTGGAATTTCCTCACGAAGAATAATAAATAATAATAATAAATAATAATAATAAATAATAATAAACACCCCAGTTTTATAGGCCACATAAGCCCTAGTTTTTGGCCACACTGATACGACTCCCATAGGAAGTGAATATGCCCTCACCGGGAAACACTAGTAATAGGTCCTCATACTTTAAGATGCTGATATAATGCTTGAAAAAGGTCAGATTATCTAATTATGCTGGATTTAATCTTCACTGGCCAACAACTGGAGACCGGACAGAGAGTTAGCCCATCCACCTGGGTGGATTTGGTTGAGTGTTGAAAAACTGCTGTCAGTGGAGCCCGGTTGTCGTTTCATCCTCAACTGGTTTGAAATAACATGGTGTGAACAGTAAATCACTTAATATTTATCATATTAATATAATTATTGCGAATGAAGACAAAAGATAATTATCACTCATTTCAGCAGAAGACATATCACTATATTATTATATGCCATGTATATAATTATATACAATAGCAAAAAATGGCGCAGATGAGCGCCATACCGCTAAACGACCCAACATTGCTCCGCGTTGTGAAGCAGCGCGCGAGAAATTCGACAACTGCAGACAACACAATTAAATGTAGGAGGAAAGCGATGTGATCCCATAGCTGGCTAACCAACGCAGCCGACTCAAAAAAGGAAGACAAATGAATTTAAGAAGAGAAGAAGGGAAGGAAAGGAGCCTTTGGGATCTGAAAGAACAGCAGGATCCTCATCAGGGGCACGGTCCTGTTCTCATCAGGGGCACGGTCCTGTTCTCATCAGGGGCACGGTCCTGTGAAAACCTTCAGTGTAGAGAGATCTTTTTCGGTCATCCCACTAGAGCCAAAATAAGCGGGAAGAAAATGAAAGAGTATAACTGAAAGGTTGTTAATTGAAAGAGAGTATAACTGAAAGGTTGTCAATTGAAAGAGAGTAAAACTGAAAGGTTGTCAATTGAAAGAAACCACAGCTTAAGTCATTCTCAAAATCGCCAGAAATGCACACTCTATTTGCTAGAGAAAGTTTCCGCTCATGCTGCAAGAAGGCAACCAGTGCAAAGTGTCCAGTAAAATTCTTATTGGCGATGCTCAGGAGAGCAGACAATCTCTAACCTAAGCACTAGCGGGATATATATATCCGGATATATCCTTCGGATATATCCAGAATCCATGGCTCGATGGGAAAAGAGTGGAGAGAGAGAAAATTCCACAAAACTGGGAGAATTCACTGTGTAAATTGGATCACGTGTTGCAATCCGAACCCATGTACGCAAACAAAAACCAACTGCCTTGCCTGTCCCCCGATCGACCGAAAAAAAAATAAAGGGAAGGCGAAGGCCAGGGACTTGCCCATATGACTCAGAGGCAAGCCCCAGTGGAAGGAAGCCATCCAGCAGACAGCGGAAAAGGAAAAGTTCATTGGCTGAAGAAATGGCAAACGTCCCCAAAATGATGAGATAATGAGTTTTCTTGAAGAGGCCAAATTGTTTTTTCAAAAACCAATCTGCATATCCATTATTTATCAGTTTATCATGTAAATCGTCCTCGTGACTGCAAATCTGCAAGTATCTGTTTGATTGTGATTTCATGACATTATTGATAATATGCTTAGGGATATTTGACCTAATTATTGGAATGTTAGCAATTTCGAGGGAAAAGTCTCTTCTCTTGCCATAAAAAATTAATGGAAAACTTCGATCCTTGTTAGCAAGCAACCAGCGACCGGAGGAGCATAGAGCTGCGCCCTGCTCAAGTGTGTGCAGTGACGGTTGGCCATTATTTACCATGGCTTTTTTTTTTAAGCAATGAAATTTCCTTTGGGTAAGTATTTCCCTTTTTTTTGCACTTTGCTTTTCAGGATCTTTGAAATGAATCACCAGGTTTGTATGAAATTTCAAGAAAAGTAAGAAAAAATGATCCAATCTCAAGGTGAACTGCCTGATATTGCCCCTCCTTTCCTCATCCCTGCCATTCCTCATCCCTGCCATTCCTCATCCCTGCCATTCCTCATCCCTGCCATTCCTCATCCCTGCCATTCCTCATCCCTGCCATTCCTCACCTTGTCCACACCTATTCCCCTGAATGACCACACTCTCCCCATACCCGTTCCACCCCCTTCCACACCGGTTCCTCACGCGACTCACAGCCGTCCACACGATATCCACACCATGCCACACACGTGTGGATGGGCAAGGTTTTTTTTTTATAGAAGGGATGACGCTAAGGACGCATGACACGCTTAGTGTGAAACGCCCTTTACTAATGTGTCTGCATTGTCCCTGCCGTGCGATACGAGTGTGCGCTACCTCTTTATGCTGCCTTTCTCCAAAGGATTCCCGGAATCTCCAATGAAAAATGCGGAAAAGGTTGAGTTGCATCTCAGGTGTGGGCTGAAGACTTGCCGACCACATAGATGCGGGTTGCCACATGTGGCATCTTCTTTTTTTTTTCCTTGTATTTCCTGGAACTTTTACCGAGTCGAAGGTAAAATGGATAGACAGTTTGTCTTGCCTCCAACAGTCAAATTTGTGGGGGGGAAAAAGACTAACTCGCTCGTTTTTCGCAAGTTGAGGTCGAAGGTCACCGACATGACCTCGCCACACAAAGGTCACTCTCGGTTCTTTGTCGAAACCCATACGTACCATTGAAAAGAGCTGACAAATGAGCCAAAGGAGACCTCATCGGCTCGGTTAGGATAGAAGTTCCAAGGGGAAGACTGTCTCCGAGTGCAACCAGAGGGATTCCATTTTGCTTCAATTTTCCGGATGAATTTCCATGTCTGTCGATATCTGTCAAATGAATCCAATACCACGTAATCAATGAGAGTTTCTCGAAGTCACCAATACAACGGTGAGGTTTGGTTGAAATGGTAGTTTGTCACCGATGAATCTGATCTCATATTGAAAGATCCCAAAATGCGAAATTTTCCCACCTAGTGAAGAAACACTCGTTAACGAGTCCAGTGGGATTTCATCGGATTACGTCGAAATATTCGTTCCAGAACGCGGCGAAATCGGGAGTGACCAGAGTGCATCCACCGGCAAGGCCAAGTGGGATGGCGACAAGGGCAACAAGGGCAACAGGGCGACAAGGGCAACAAGGGCAACAGGGCGACAAGGAACACTGGAAGAGAAACGCCAGAAGCCTGCTCAGTCCTCGAAATTTCACGACGGCTATGTAGACGAGGGCCATTTGGCTGTGTCTGGCTTCGACCGCCGGGAAGGCAACACTTCCAACACTCGCGACCGTTGCTGAAAATCGGACTAGCTTCGCGATGTGGGGGGGGGGGGCGAAGGATTGAAGTTCCTCTGCCGGCAAATACGTGCATGAGGAAGAAAAATAATTGATGAATCCGTCAAATAAACGATGAGTAAGAAAGTAAAAACATATTGCCGTTTCTTGATAGCAGAGCTTAATGGGTCCCTAGTAGCACATAACGTTGAAACAACATGGATTCAATGTTGATTCGACATTCGAATGTTGAATCAACATTGAATCAATGTTGATTTCATGTTATGTGCTACTAGGGGTGTTAAAAAAACCTTTACAATTTGTTTTAGACTACATACGAGGTCTAACAATAAAATAACGAGACTGTATTTTCCAATAGCTATATATGTTATACTATACCCCGTCCCCGTTGGAAGAGGAGATGGCGACGGTGGCGGCGGTGGCGGCGGTGCGAGGGACAGTGTCATCGTCATCAATGACGGCTCCGGCGGCGGTGGCGACAGAAACGAGAGCAAATAGACAGGGAGGTAAGGAGCCTTCATAGATAAATCTCTGTCCTGGATTCTCAATTTTTTTTTTACAAAGAAATCTATTCTTACTTGTACTTTCCAGATAGCCCAGGGAGGTGCGCGACCCAATGCAAGTGTCCCTCACTGGCATTCATTTTATTGTTACAGCCCGTGTATTTTTTTTCTCCGTGAAAAATATTTTTTGTTTGCTTGATATGTCTGATACTGATGAATGAAACGACGTTAATATCTGCAAATCTGCCTTCTCGTGCCCCTCACAGCTGGAATTCTCTCCAGTGGCTAGATTAAATTTCCCCATCAGACAGCTTGACGGAAATAACTTTCCAATAGACCGGAACTGCAATATAATTCAAGAATAAGAGAGAAAGAATTCTTCCTCCTGTTCTACAGGGTGGTCCAAAAGTCTCCATACATAGGGAAAATTAACACTTAAAAAAAAAAGTAACTTTAACATAACGCATAACACCAGATGTATTAACGCGAGTTCACCATGAATGGGAGAGTCGCATCCGTATGTGTTTTCAAAGTAATGGGAACCAAGTAGAGCATATTTGGTGAATAAAGTTACATTTTGTTAAAAAGTGTTAATTTTCCCTATGTATGGAGACTTTTGGACCACCCTGTATATAGAATACATTGTTTCCCCAATTACATTAATGCAATTTGGGAAACAATATATTCCCTAGCATCCAAGCCAGTCCTCATTGTATGAAATCTTCCCAGGAACGTGCCACATTCGTAGGAATTATTAGCCTGATCTTAAATCGCCGTTAAGAAAAACTCTCACCCAAGAAGATACCAACAGAACGCAGTTGGATAAAGCCAAAGGGTTTGCTGCAGAAAGGTAAGATCGAGAGCATCCCGAGTGAACGCTCCAGTATCGGCGCAAGGAGAGATATTAAAGGGAATGACTCGCTGCAGTCGTCGCGGCCGTATAGAGAAAGGAAGTTCGTGCTTCCGTGGCCTTGACAGCGAGGATTGCCAGATTTTCAAGCTTGAATTCTGCACCACTCCATGACATTAACGGGGAAAGGATTACTCTAGGGGCACGGTTGGAAATTAAAAAATTATCGGAATGGCGGCTTCGCCCTTTCATATTAAGGTTCTTTACGGAATATTCTTCCCTGGGGGCGTAATTACCAACACATTAAATCACTAAACCAACTTGCTATCAAAATATATAAAGGG